GACAAGGATGTTGGTGACAGAACTTTAGAGGAAGGTGGAGGTAATTCTGTGGCTAATGTCTTTTCTCCCCACCCACCCCCATCTGCAGTATAGCAACTGAACCCAGGACCTTGAACAAGCCAGCAACCTCTCTGCCTCCCAGTTAAATCCCAGAAAAAAATTCCTGTGTGCTTTGTATTTTTATTTTTATTTTTTAAATATTTATTCATTTATTACGCATACAATATCTGCCTACATGTGTGCCTGCAGGCCAGAGAGGGCACCAGATCTCATTACAGATGGTTGTGAGCCACCATATGCTTGCTGGGAATTGAACTCAGGACCTTTGGAAAAGCAAGCAATGCTCTTAACCGCTGAGCCATCTCTCCAGCCCCTGTTATTTTTATTTTTTAATTTTTATTTATGTGTATGTGTGTGTATCTGTGTGGTGTCTACCACTTGTGTGCAGATACCCGGGAAGGCCATAAGAGGCTGTTGAATTCCCAGGAATTCAAGTTACAGGCTCCTACCTCTCTCCCTCCTTCCCTTCTTTACCTTCTGATTCCTGGACCCTGTCTCTGGTAAAATTCAGGCAGAGGGCCAGGCTGGAGCATGGGAGCTAGCAAGTCTCAGGTGACTCCTCCTGGAACACACCTGCCTGGTGGAAAGTGGCAGGTGGCACAGCCGTGGCTGTGGATCTGAGGAAAGGGAAGGCACAGGGCCATCCCTGCAGTCCAGGGTTGGCTTGTACGGAGCCTCCATGATGCCCCACTGAGCAGAATAGTGGCTTGGCCTGGACTGTGGGCCCCAGAGAGAATGGAGCAAACTTGGCTGGGAGAGGTTGGTGCTCGCAGGGGGTGTCGTGAGGAATCTGTATTTTCTACAGTCACTCAGAACATCCACAGCACAGAAGAAGCTCCAAAGGGCGGGGCTGTGGGGAGGGGGACGCATCTTCAACATCCATCCCAAAGATTTGTGGTTCATAAATAGTCTGGACTGTCCCCACCTTAGACGCCTTTGGGAGAGATGTCTGATTTATAGAGCTCTAGGAGTGTTCCCTGCTCTCCAGGACCTGAGGAGCAATTTGACGAGCTTTCTGCTTTTTCAGGCCTGACCTGACCCCACCCCGACACTCTGCCCTACTCAGATCCACAATATAAGAGGGAGGCCTGGCCTTTACATGACAAAAGTAGCTCCCCTCCCCCACTTGAGCAATCTACCCATTGTAAAACTTTCCAATCCACATCCGCATTCTTCTTTAGGCCGTTGGCTAATTGCCCAATTACTGTATTTCCCCAACAGAACTCTTCGGGCTGCTGGGAATCCACATCCAGGAGCCCTGGCCTGGGTCTCGGGAAGCCTTCGAAGTCTGGTAGATTGGCCCTCTGTTTCTCTGTCTGCTTCTCACGCTGCTCTGCCCTCATCGGGACCTGACTCTTGAGTTGTCTGAGTTCCCAAGTGACCTGCGACTTGATGGATGGGCTTCTGCCAAAGAAGCCAGTGCTGGGGATAGTGTGGGGTGCGGGAAAAACTGTGGCCTTTGAGTTGGCGCGTCAGCTGTGTTTCAGTCCTGTTTGACTCTGACGGAGCTGTGGCTTCTCTGACCCCGCTTTCTCTGCACTGTCTGTGGGGCCCAGACAGCCTGTTTCTGCCCCGAGATGTCTGGCATTACAGACTGGCAGGGGAAAGAGGAAGTCCTGGTCTTTCCCTGGTTTTAAACATCCCCAGGCTCCTCCATTTCAGAAAGGGCTATATAGATACTCCTAGTGGCCACCCTGCCCAGGACCCTTTCAGTACCAATCTCCAGGAATTCTAAGTTCCTAAAGAGGCTCCCAGGTATTCAGGGTCCTTTCCTTTTAAAGTTGAAGTAAGGTGTTTATTGGGGGTGAGGAAACACATGCAGCAGACACTGAGAAAAAGACCCTCTGTGAAACCGAGGAAGGACTCAAAACGGGGTTAAAGGTGAAAACCCCTGTTCTAGGTCCTTAAAGAAGTGGAATAATGATTGGGCAGTTCCTGTCCTACGCAGGGCCCAGGTCCTAGCTTGGCTCTGTCTTGGTGCAGAAACATCCACAGGACCTCTGGGGAAGCAGGAACGCAGCAGAGAAGGGGTTACGGCCTTCTACTATCTTCTCTGAGAATGGACATTTCTGTGGCTTGGTTGTTCTGTTGCTTAAGGGTAGAGGGAGGTTCACTGATCACTTGGGGTGCCCCTGAGGGCCTCAGATCCAAGATGTCCATGAAGTGGCAGTAGAGAGGCCTTGGGAGCATCTGCAAGTCAGGAAGTCGACAACAGCAGATGGCTGTCCTTTGGCTCTGGGACAGAAGGTCTCACTGAACCACAGCAGGGCTTCGGGTGGTGTTACATCTTTGATACCAACCTGGCTACGATAAGCCACAGGGTTTCCTGTCAGCCAGTGGCAAGGGTGGTGGACTCTTGCATATTTATGGGACACCAGCCCAGAAGAGCTTTCAGGGACTAAGGACCACAGGTCCTGGTCGCCTGTGAATGTGACACCTCCGTGCCGTTTGGCCCGACTAAAGCCCCAAATGTTAGCATCCCTTCCCTGTTAATCACTTGCAAAGGAAGGCAGCTGATGTTCCTTTTGAAGAAGGCCGTGTTTGTCAACCACCAAGGGCTCCTTTGGGCTGGATGCAGGGTGGGGGTCTTATTATATTCCAGGGAACCCTCCTTAGGAGATGTGAGCTTCAGGATGAGATTAGTTTTTGTTTTTTGTTTTGCTGGTGCTGGCAATGGAACCCAGGACTTTGCATGTGCTAGGCAAGCACTCAACCACCGAACCACCTAGCTCCAAAAGGAGATTTGAATTTCTTCTGGGGGATTACCTAGTTTCCTCAGAAACACAGGTGGGAGAGAAGGGGAAAGAGAAAGCAAAGCAGCTGAGGTCACTGTTCTGTGACTGTGAGACTCCTTCTCTGGGGCCAGCTGTCAGGATTTTTATATTTCTCTCATCTCAGTCTGCCTATCATGTGACCCAAACTCCATGTCATTTTCTTCAAATAACCCTACCCCTGGCAGTCTCTGTTCACTCTTGGGCAAGCACATGACAGTTCTGTGCCTCAGTGTCTTCGTCTATAAGGTGCCAATAATAATGATGGCATCCTGGTCCACCCCCAGGTTATTGTGAGGATAAAGACTTGACAGTGCCAGCCATGAGAGCGCGTGCCTATGATCTTGGCATCAGGAAAGTCGAGGGAGGAGAACTTTTGAGTTCAAGGCTAGGTTGGGCTATATAGCAAGACTGTCTCAAAATTAAACAAAGCAAGTATACACGTCCTATATGCATTATCAGCCATTATGATTATCAACAGATTTTTTTCTCTTTCCTTTTTTCTTTTTTTCACAGTGGTGGAGCGCAAACCTGAGGATTTGGGAGTGCTAGGCAAATGCTTTCCTACAGACCTATACCCTTGGCCCTATTAGAATTGATGGGTGTGTGTGTGTGTGTGGTGGCTGTTTGGGCTATTATCAGAATTAGTTCTGCCCTTGAACCCAAGAGAGCTTTCTTTTCTATCGGGGATATACGAGAAAGACAGAAATAGTTTTAATAAATAGAAGACAGGGCATACCCAGGGGCCAGTGTCCCCCCCAATGGGAAGATAGAGAGGTGATCCCTGTCTACAAGGTCCTTTGGACCTTAACTCCTCCATGGTCATTGTTCACCTCCCATGAGAATCGAGGATACAGAATGGGCTTCCCTTTTGCACACACTTAGATCTCTGAGCCAGAAGAAGCATTGGGAGACAGATGCCCACATTCATGTCCAAAGAACTCTGCTAACTGAGCATCATGACAGGTGACGTTGTTCTGTAGCGATCTGACCAGTCTCTGAAAGAATCTGCCTCCTGAGGGCTGCATGGATCCATGCTGCCAGCTTGAAATGGCTGGCACAGGTGAGCACTCAAGTGATGTCTGCTACGGCCGTACATACGTATGTATGCATGCATGCATGTATGTGTCTATTATGCATTTGTTTTGAGACAGGGTCTCATGCATCCCAGGCTGGCCTCAAACTTGATCCGTAGCTGAGGAATACCTGGAACTTCTGATCCTCCTGTCTCTGCCTCCCAAAAGCAGTGCTGGATATTGAGCCTAGGGCCTCACACTCATTAGGTAAGTGCTCTATGGAGCTGCATCCCCAGGCTCCACGTGGTTCCTATTGGTGTCTTTATAAAAGCCACAGTGCTGAGAATGTACCCTAAGAGGATGACGATGAAAGCAAACCCTTCTCTAGCATTTGATAAGCTCCAGACTCTGTGCCCGTTCATCTGTTCTTCGTGCCAGCCCTATGCAGTAGATTCTACCATTGTCAGCCATTTTTTTCAGATGAGAAAAACAAAGCCCCAAGAATGTAATGAAGTCCCTAAAGGCCTGGCACCCACCGTACTGTTTTAAAGTGGGAGCTGGAAGAAGTGGGGGCAGTCGCGTGTCTGCGACTGTGACTGAGGACTAGGCATGCCTCTGGGCAGATTTGGCCTCTGCTTTGAAGGTTTCTGTCCCTAATTCTGTGACCGTGAACAAGACGAAAGTCCAAGTACTCATGGTATGAACCTAGTGTGTGGACCCCTCCCAGAGGGGACTGCTGTCTGAAGGGACACGTTCTGCGGTACTCTGAGGGCAAGATGGGACAGGCTTCACGCTTCTGGAGACTATGCTACCAAATCCCTAGTTAACAGGACCGTTCTTTCTCTGACATGGGTGGCGTGAGGACAGTGATGAACCCCAGGGGACCAATAGGGGGACTGAAGGATGCAGAGTCCTTTGACTCTGAGGTATCTGTGAAAGTGACCAGGCCCAGTAGGCTCTCTCTGCTCCCTCTGACCTTCTCTGCATACCACCCTAGGCTGAATGACATCTAGGAGCAGTCTGCAAGAGACTTAAACAGGTTGGGCACGGTGATGCACACCCGTCAGCGTGTGTATGTGTGTGCATACACATGTATGTGTGTGTGCATGCATGTGTGCGCACGTGTATGTGTGTGAGATGTGTGTGGGGTGTGTGTATGCGCATGTGTAAGTGTGTGTGGTGTGTGTGTGTGTGTGTAAAGGCAGGAGGACTGTCACAAAGTTTGGGGCCAGCCTGACCTAGGCTTGTTTCCCAAAATTTCAGCCCAGCCAGGGCTACATAGGTGACATAGTAATATACATTTAATAAAAATCAGCAGCTGGAGAAAGTGAAAGTGACTCTCCTTTTCCCAGGAATTCTTTCCCCACCAAGCAGGACTCTGACGCTGTCAGATAACCCCAACAGGCGTGAACAGTATTGTTGAGTGGTGGTGGCCCCCAGACAGAAACCCTGGCCTGTGTGTCTTCCAGACAGCTCTTTGTACCCTTTCTAGACAGCCCCTCCTCGGGGGCTCAGGGCCTTGTCTGGTGTTGAGCTCCCAGGAGGTCCCAGGGGTGTGACCTTTCTTGTCCTTCCTCCCTGCCCCCCACCCCAGGGCCAGCTATAAAGAAAGCCAGCACTAGCTCTCAGCAGGCCATCTAGGACCCAAGAGCTTTTCGGGGCACTTTAGGGACCACATACCCAATATCCACAGTTCCTCCTGGGCAGCACCATGCAGTCCCTGTGGCTTTGCTGGGTCCTAGGGGTGCTGCCCCTGGCTGGCCATGGGGCAGCTGTGACCGAGGAGCAGGTCCTGGTCAGGCTACTGCAGCAGCTGAAGCTCAGCCAGGCTCCCATCCTGGACAGGGTGGACGTGGAGGGGATGGCCATCCCTGCCCACGTGAAGGCCCAGTATGTGACCCTGCTACAGCGAAGCCATGCTGACCGCTCCCGAGGCAAGAGGTTCAGCCAGAATTTCAGAGGTGAGCTCTACCTACTATTCCCGGTCTCTTGAGGGGGTAGACTGAGCATGCCCATTCTGGGGATGTCAGTGGACCCTTTCTTTGTGTGAACTGCACACAAAGGTGGGGGGCTTAATCTGAGGAGTGGTGAAATGTAAACATGGCCTTGGAGGGTGGCCGGGTCTAGGCCCCAGGCTCTGGCTGTGCACTGAGGATTGTCACTCTCGGGCAGGAGGAGGTAGATTAGGTTGGAGTAATGCACGAGACCCAGACCCAGAGACGAGGAGGAGAGCATGGAAAAGCAGAATTTTAGGGTATGTGTAGGGTGTAGTAAGTACTAATTCTTCTGGAAGCAGTGGTATGACTCCCTGGGGTCACCATCTCAGACCACCTGGTACAGTGGCCAACTGGGTTTTCTACTATGAACATCGAAGTGAGTGATGGGTTGAAACAAGCAAACAAGCCAGCATCCTGAGAATGGAGGTAGCCAGTCGTTGAGATGCAGGGGCCTAGATGGTAGCCTTTCCCCTAAGGACTGGGACCAGACCTCAAGACACAGCCAGACCCAAGGCCAGGCACTTGTGAGGACCCGATTCTTTACAGCTCCATGAGTTCTAGGTCCCAGAGCTCTTTGTGCTTGGTTGGGATTTTAAATAACTGGAGATTTTAAATAACTGGCTTTGTACCAGGGGCATAGAATGGAGAAGTCTGTCCCAGCCAACTCCCAGCCCAGTGGTCCTGCCATCCTAGAGGTCTCCTGGTTTCTGTAGAAGCCAGGCTGACTCTGTCCATGTCCACAGAGGTGGCAGGCAGGTTCCTGGTGTCCGAGACCTCCACACATTTGCTAGTGTTTGGCATGGAGCAGCGGCTGCCGCCTAATAGCGAGCTGGTGCAGGCTGTGCTGCGGCTGTTCCAGGAGCCGGTCCCCAGAACTGCTCTGCGGAGGCACGAGAGGCTGTCCCCACACAGTGCCCGGGCTCGGGTCACCATTGAGTGGCTGAGAGTTCGTGAAGATGGCTCCAATCGCACCGCCCTCATCGACTCCAGGTATAGGGTGTAGGTGTGTGTGTGTGTGTGTGTGTGTGTGTGTGTGTGTGTGTGTGATGTGGGGGAATTGAGCTCTGCTCGGCCCTGCTGGGGGAGGGGAGCAGCAGAGGATGGGCTGGGGACAGGACGGGACTGGAGACTCCTCTACTAGTAGACTAGAGACAGTCTCCCAGTCCCCTCGCCTGACGCGCAGCTGTGTCGCAGGCTCGTGTCCATCCACGAGAGCGGCTGGAAGGCCTTCGACGTGACGGAGGCAGTGAACTTCTGGCAGCAGCTGAGTCGGCCGAGGCAGCCACTGCTGCTGCAGGTGTCAGTGCAGAGGGAGCATCTGGGCCCGGGGACGTGGAACGCACACAAGTTGGTCCGTTTTGCTGCTCAAGGGGCGCCGGGCAACGAGGGGCGGGGCGAGCCCCAGCTGGAGCTGCACACGCTGGACCTCAAGGACTACGGGTAGGCTGGGGGTTAGGTAGCCTGGGGTACAATAGAGTCATCCTTCCCAGGTGTCTTGGGCCGGCTTAGGGGTGGGTTGTGTAGGCTATCCCAGGAGATGACCCATTCCTATCCACAATAGTTCCTAGTGGTGCGTTTAGAAACGGTATTAGTCAAACACATTATCATAACAGTCTGTATTCACTCTTCCCTTTATAAGTCTTTGAGAATTTTATCTTGAGCTATACTTTACCTGCTGAGCTATCTTGCCTGCCCCACATATGCTTTTTTTTTTTTTGTTAAAAATATTTTTATTGCTGGGCAGTGCTGGTGCAGGCCTTTAATCCCAGCACTGGGGAGGCAGGCGGATCTCTGAGTTCAAGGCCAGCCTGGTCTACAGAGTGAGTTCCAGGACAGCCAGGGCTGTTACACAGAACAACCCTTAGTAAGCAGTAGATGGCTTTATGTTCTCTAGCCGTGTTTCTTTATTTGTTCTTTATTCTTCTGATGCCTTAAGAAATGGATGGTAAGTCTCCTCAGAGGCTCCTGACCTTGGCTCTGTCTGTCAGGTGACTTTTGGCCTCTCATCCCCCACAGAGCTAAAGGCAACTGTAACCCTGAGTCCCCAGTGACAGAAGGCACCAGATGCTGTCGCCAAGAGATGTACCTTGACCTGCAGGGGATGAAGTGGGCTGAGAACTGGGTTTTGGAACCCCCAGGGTTTCTGGTCTATGAGTGTGTGGGCAGCTGCCTGCAGCCACCAGAATCCCTGACCATCAAGTGGCCGTTTCTGGGGCCACGGCAGTGCGTTGCCTCAGAGACGACCTCCCTGCCCATGATTGTCAGCACGAAGGTGGGAGGCAGGACCAGGCCCCAAGTGGTCAGCCTGCCCAACATGAGGGTGCAGGAGTGTAGCTGTGCCTCTGACGGGGCTCTCATACCCAGGGGGATCGATCTGTAGTCCCTGCACAGCCACGCTTTGACACTTAGTGAGTTAACTTGTCCTGACTCAGTGCCCACATTTCACCTTTGCCCCACAGTCTTCCCTGTCATGGCTGCCTTATCCATCACCCAGTCTAAGCACTTACATGAGTGAATACTGTCATCCCACCCGACACCCTGGCCCACTTAGCAGAGGACATGGCGGCGGACAGGTTGCCAGCTGAATCTGTTTTCTGGCCAATTCTCAGCTAATTGTGCAACAGAACCCTATGGAGCAGGGGAATCCTCTAATTTACTCTATCACGTGGTGATATTTAAATTCATTTAAACCAAACAAAGCAAGCAGAAAAATCCCAGACAGCCCCAGATAGGAGGATATCTAAAAAAGAGCCTCCTCAGTACTATCACATTCTAGACTCTCTTATTTCCTTTGGGGCAGGGTCTCAATATGTAGCTCAGAATGGCCTCAAACTCAAATACACCTCTCTCTGCCTCCCAAGTGCTGAGTTAAAGGCATGCGCCACCATATTCTGCCCCTTCTAGATGTTTAAAAACACACCGTGGCCAGGCGGTAGTGGTGCAATCTTTTAATCCCAGCACTCAGGAGACAGAGACAGGAGGATCTCTGAGTTTAAGGCCAGGCCGGTCTACAGAGCTAGTTCCAGGATAGCCAGGGCTACACAGTGAAACCTTGTCTCTAAAATCCAGAATACAAAACAAAACCACCACCGCCACCAAAAACCAAAACAACAACGACAAAACCCCACTGTTGTGGTCTTTGTTCTAAGAGCACTAAGAGGAAGGAAGAAGAAGAGCTACAGGTTGGGACACTGGTCAGGAAATCAAACACTTAGCTTCCGGGCAGAGCTGACCACAAGCAGGGTCTCAAGGCTGCGGAGAAGCCTATGGGTTACTGTGTTAGCTTAAAAAGGAGTGGTGGTCTCCAGCTCTGAGGCTTCATTGCCCCAGGGAACAGATGGCCCCCAGTATTGTGTGCTATTGCAGTGTTAGCGTGACCTGGGTGTGTTGAGCGTTCCCATCTATCTTAGAGAATAGCATGAGTAAGTATGTGTGCTAACAGGATACTTTGTTTGTATTTAGCAAAAATCAATTGAACATAGATTATCTGAAGGAACAAAATTAAAGTGATGTCTCACTCTGTGAGTCTGTGTCATTTCTAGTACCCTTCACTAGAGGATGATGGGGAACCATAACAAACATGCTTGGAGGATAAGGGGACAATCAAAGATTCCCAGTTTTGGAAACTTGAACACTGCACTAAGTTTAAATTCCCCATGTGACTCTTATTAAAAAATATTATATTGAACAATTATATAAACTTCCTCTTTAGAAAGAACTTGATCTTTGCAATGGAGATGCAGGTGATAGTTACGTGGTAAGCAAGCATTTACTGGGCTAGGCAATAGCATGTATATATCACATGTTTGGTCATGCCCAAGTTAATTATCCCCCAAAACGAAACTCCACAGAACCAGATTCCAACGTAAAGTGCAAGAGGGTTCTTAATATTCAAACTCGAGTTTGTACCACACCTCCAGCACCCAACGCAGTGGGTGAAGGAAGTGTAGCCCCCGAGTCACGAAAGGGGAGGACTTTTAAAGGGGAAATGCCATGATCGAGGGAGTTCATGTCCTGTCGGCTTGGGATTGGGTAAGGCGGACATAAGGTAAGGTAGTTTCTGAAAGCATTGGTCAGTTTTTTGGGTGTAAAAACCCTAATAAAGAGCCATTAGTAACTGACAAGGTGTCTTCAAGGACAGGATGCCTCCTAGGAACATCTGGACCTCATTAAATTTTATGGCCCTGCTCCCTAGCTCCTTAATTGGCTGTTTTCAGGGCATCCGTTCAAATTTCTGCTATTGCTGCACATTTCTGGAGCTGAGCTCAGCCCCTGCTCATTATACGGCTTAAGATGAAGCCCTTCTTTAAAATGGAGTTTGCAAAGTCAGGGCCTCACAGCATCACTTGTAACTAAAGGCAGGTGTGGTGGTGATGCCCACATTTAATCCCAGCACTCAGGAGGCAGAGGCAGGTGGATCTCTGTGAGTTTGAGACCAGCCTGGTCTACAAAGCAAGTTCCAAGACAGCCAAGGCTGTTATAAAGAGAAATCCTGCCAAAAAAAACTATAAACAAACAAATAAATCCTTGTAACTAACGCATAGAGATTAGTCCTTTGAATCTTGGATAGAGTTACTAAGACGCCATTATTATGTACGAGACTAGAAAAAAAAATTATCCTTGGGGATCTTCCAGAGGACCCATATTTGATTCCCAGCACTCAGATGGTAACTCACATCTGTCTATACATTTCCACAGGACCCAGCACTGGCTTCTGGCCTCTGTGGGTTCTGGGCATGCATGTGGTGCACAGATATACATGCACACACATTACCCATACACATTAATGGAAATAATTTTGTAGCCATCCTTCTACAGTTGGTTAGTGAGAACATCAGAATCCTTGGTAAGAGCAAGGACAGAGTATGGATTAAATATACTTTTCCTGTCTGGTTTTGTTTGTGTCTTGGTGGGTTGGCGTCTAAGTCATCTCTAGAGATTTAACACTAGGTGGCGCTCTGAACCCAGGTTTGCAAGTGACCTCTGCTATTTGTGAGTTGGCGGGCAGAGGATTGGGCCCTTTCCATGACAAGCAGAACTTGTCAGAATCTTTGGTTTGTCTGCATTTCCTAATTTGGTATGAACAGATATTTCTTTTATATTTATACAGGAAAAAAATCACAAAAATATTTCTTTTTTCGAGACAGGGTTTCTCTGCGTAGCTGTGGCTCAAAACTATTTCTTGAGAGAAAGAAACAAATACAGGCAGTAAGCCAGATCCCGTTAGAAGTGGGACTTTTTTATTTTTCAATTTTCTATTTGTTTGTATAGTTTTTTTTTTGAGGCAGGGTCCTATGTTATGTAGGTATGACCTTGACCATTTGATTTTCCTGCCTCAGACTTTTCTTCTTCTTCTTTTTTTTCATTTGCCTCAACCTCTTGGGAGTTGAGATTATAAGTCTGCATGGGCATCATACCTGGCTAGAAATTGAGCATAATTCTATATTTTTTTTACTTGTCCTGAGCTAGGGGTTGTAGCTCAGTGGTAGATTATTTACCTAGCATACACAAAGCCCTGGGTTTCATCCTCAGACAATGCAGAGGAATAAAATAACAGCTGGGCATAGTGATAGAATGAAATAAAGAGAAGACGAGCTGGTTGTGGTGGCACACGCTGGTAAGATTTGCTGAAGGAGGCAGAGGCAGGAGGATCACAAATTTGAGGCTGGCCTGGGCTATACATTTTGCTGGGTGGTGGTGGTGCACACCTTTAATCCCACCAGTCGGGGAGGAGGCAGAGACAGGCTGATGAGCCCTGTGAGTTCGAGGCCAGCCTGGTGTACAGTGTGAGTTCCAGGACAGGTGCCAAAGATACAGAGAAACCTTGTCTTGAAAAAAAACACCACCACCACCACAACAACAACAATAACAACGACAAAAGAAAGAAAGAAGGAAAGAAAGAAAGAAAGGAAGGAAGAAAGAAAAACGAATAAAACCAACCAGTAGGACAGCTCAGTGGGTTAAGGTCCTTGTCATCAAGCCTGAGGCCTGAGCTGAACTGGCGATGCTTTGTAGATCAGGCTGGTTTCTGATGGTTTCCGTGACCTCCAGTACGATTATAGACATCACTCCATCCAGAGGACTACATTTACGTTATCAGGCTTGCTAGGGCAAGTGCCTTTGACTCCTGAGCCGTCTCCCTGGACCATGTAACATTAATTTAGTAGGCAATCTTCACATTATTGTGACGAGATCCCAGTGTGGAGCCCTAAAACTGAGATTTCTTGGATTCTAGTTTGTGGCTTTTTGTTTTGCTTTGTTTGCTCAGGTTGGTCCTAAACTCCAAACTTCAGTGGACCAGTCTTCTAAGAAATGCCAGTCTTCTCAGGAGCAGAAACTACCTGCCTACCAACTGCCTTCTTGGTTATGCATTGTGCAGGAGGGAGCCAGTCCTTCATGCATGCTGCCCACTGAGCTATATCATCAGCCCTCAAACAGTAAATTGGAATTTTTAATTCATTTTTTTCAAGATTTATTTATTTATTGTGTACAGTGTTCAGCCTCCTTGTATGCCTGTAGGCCAGAAGAGGGTACCAGATCTCATTACAGATGGTTGTGAGTCACCATGTGGTTGCTGGGACTTGAACGCAGGACCTCAGGAAGATCAGCCAGTGCTCTTAACCTCTGAGCCATCTCTCCAGGACTTAAATCATTTTTTTTTAGACAGGGTTTCTTTCATCATATATCCCAGACTGGCCTGAACTCTCAATCTTCCTGCCTTGGCCTCCCGAGGGCCGCAATCACAAGATCTGCATAACTGGTCCCTGCTTCTTGCTGAATTGTTCTTACAAAAACATCAAGATTATAAAAATGTATTTTAAAATGTGCCTCACTGTGTAGAAAAAAGAAATATAATGCTATTCTCCAAAAATGTCATTGGTTCTCCTTAGGTGGTGACACTGAAGACATGTTGGGGTGTAGGTCAAAGGTGAGCCATTGCCCGCTCTGTGCAAGGTCTGAATGCCATCCCCAGTACTATAAACGGAAAAGGATAGCTTTTCTACTGAACCTAATTGCCAATTTTTGTGTTATAAACATGGATACCCATGTAATAAAGTGAGGAGAGGGAGGGTTGAGTGCTGGAGACTTGCCATCTGCTTAGCTGGGGGCAGCTCAGTAGTCTGTTCTGTTGCCTGGACCACCCAGTTCTCAGAAAGGGGCTGGCCTGTTAGCGAAGGATAAGACAGGAGGAAAGCCCTGAGGCCCTGATAAAATAATGAAGCCTCTCGTCAGACTGCAGGAGCAGGAGAACACAGAAAGGAGAGGTGGGAGGAGACTGAACTGGCTCGACTATTGGCTGGGAGAATAAGAAGGGGGGGGGGTGCACCCAGGGAGGAGGTGAACTTAGAGGCTGGGAGTCCAGGAAGGGAAAAGCAGAACACCCATGAGACAGATGCCAGATTGGCAGTATGGCATGGTCAGGCTGGGGCCATTCTGGAGGGCGTGTCTCAGATGTCTGGGTGGGATGGTAGGTACCCCTCGACTTCACGTTAGACTGCAAGAAGGCAGTTGGTAGGCAGGTAGTTTCTGCTCCTGAGAAGATTGGCGCTTCTTAGAAGGCTGGTCCACTGCGTTTGGAGTTTAGGACCAACCTGGGCAAACAAAACAAAACAAAAAGCCATAAACTAGAATCCAAGAAATCTCAGTTTTAGGGCTCCACACTGGGATCTCGTCACAATAATGTGAAGATTGCCTACTAAATTAATGTTACATGGTCCAGGGAGACGGCTCAGGAGTCAAAGGCACTTGCCCTAGCAAGCCTGATAACGTAAATGTAGTCCTCAGAACCAAGGTAGAACTCTGGATGGAGTGACGTCTATAATCGTACTGGAGGTCACGGAAACCATCAGAAACCAGCCTGATCTACAAAGCATCGCCAGTTCAGAAACTAGAGACCGTAATTCAGGAAGGTGGAAGGGACCCCTGAAAGTTGCCCTCTGACCTCCACGGGAGCACATGGCTCTCGATCTTTCACTCATGCACACACCTGAAACAAAGGAAAATTGTTCTACTTAACATTT